TATATATATATATATATATATATATATATGAGTGTGCGTCATTCATTTCAATACAGACTACTAAAGAAAGAGCGTCATATAAAATACAACGGGGAGCAATAAAATATTTGACAAATTATATTATGATCATTCAAGAATGAGATTCATTTAGATTCTCTCTTTATTGTATGACATTCATACCTTCTAGCAATGAATTTCAAGTACTATTACAACAATCTTTTCAAACCATAGGATTCATCAAATCATCAGATGATATGTCCCAAAGAACACAATCAGAATTGAACACAGTTGTTGATCCATTTCTTGTTACAATTTCTTTTCCACCCTCAGAATTTTCCCCACAATTCTCATTGCTAATTCTCTTGTGTTGCTGCAATCCTCCTCCTGCTGTGCATGTACTTCCACTACACAAACTTTGGTTCCAAGGTGAACCCTCTCCTTCATTAAGTAAAGAAGCAAAATTATAGTTAAATTCTCTATTATCAGATACTGGAAAATTAGTAGTGTCCCAATTCTTGATAGGATTTAACATGTCAGGTTCTTTAATTGCCCTTGATAATCCATACTTAATTTTCTCAATTGTTTCATCTTTGTTATCTTCATGTTTGACACTAGTACTTGGTCCATTATTTGGGGCTGTTGTAGCAGTACTTGCCATTCCAAATTGCTGAAACTGAAACTGAAAACCGATACGTTTTTTGGTCAAAAGATGGAGCATTTCATCTTTGAAACATCCTAGTGCTGCTTCAGCTAAATGAGGAACTTGTGGTGGAGATAATGTGTTAGCAATTTCACTTATCAAGTGAGAAAATGGCTTGTGAGTTACTGGATCAATTCCCATTCCAGATAACTTCTTTTTCAGCTTTGTGTTCCAATGGTTCTTGACATCATTGTCTGTGCGGCCAGGCAACTGAGCAGCAATCACTGACCATCTGTTTGGAAAAAAGTTGGACAAGCATTGAGTCAGGGGCGGAGCTGGAGGGACGGAAGGGCCGAAAAATCACATTGTATAATAAAGGTTAATTTATTCTTTTAATGTATATTAAGTAGATGTTGAAAGGGAGCTTTGGAGCAACGGTAAAATTGTTTGACCTATAGGTCACGGGTTCGAGCCGTAAAAAGTCACTAATGGTTGCATTAGGGTAGACCGTCTACATCACACTCCTGGGGTACGGCCCTTCGCTGGACCCTGCACTAATGCTTATATTAGTGTAGGTTGTCTAAATCACACCTCTTGGGTTGGGGTGCGGCCCTTCCCTGGACCCTGCATGAACGTGGGATACCTTGTGCCTCAGGCTACTCTGAAAAAGTATATATATATAGTAGATGTTGAACTCCCTCGCTAAAAATACTGCCTCCTTCATTGACTGAGTAACCATATGAATCAGTTTGATAAATAGAGTCTAATTGATGCTACTCATATTGGAAGGCACGAAAGCTGAATTGGAAGAAATTGTGAAATTATGGGTAATTGGAAATATGGTAATAGGTCCTTGATATCTCACTGATTACACCTCAATCACTGAAACTGGCTGTACAATATTTCCTCTTATGTCATTGGAAGGGAGCTTTGGCACAACCGTAAAAGTTATCTTTTGTGTGACCAAGAGGTCATGAGTTCAAATTATAAAGAAAACCTCTCGCCGAAATGGAAGGTAAAGTTGTATATATTAGACCAAATATGGTCTGACCCTTACCAAAACCCCGTGTATATAATAGGAGCTTAGTGCACTAGATTGTCTTTTGATCCTTGCTATCCAATATGAGGCAAAAACATTAAGGGGAAATTCCTAGAAGCTAAATTATTAAAGTTTTTACCTATTGCCAAGAACAGAGTGAAGTGTGACAATGGTCTGCTCTTCTGCCTCTGAAAACTGTCCATGTTTGAGATCAGGCCTGAGGTAATTTGTCCATCTTAATCTGCAACTCTTTCCACATCTCTGCAAACCTGTTTAATAGAAAAGCAATTTGCACCATATATCCTTCTAAGCATTTTTTTATGAATTAATTTAAATAGCTGCTCGCTCAACTGCTTAAACTGAAAATAGCCGGCATATGTATATATATAACCATGTATGATTTATATATACTAGCTAGGAAGAGTAAATTGTGAATCTGACCGGCTATTTATGTAAAGATCGACGTACCAGCATGCTTAGGAATTAAACGCCAGTTACGAGTTCCATGTTGAGCTATGTAAGATGAAAGCTTGTGATCTTCCTCAGGAGTCCATTGCCCTCTCTTGACATTATCTTTTTCACAACATGGAATTCTGCCCATCTCAAAGTTGTAAAATTTGCAAGTAAAATTTTCCTGTAATTAGGTTGAAATTTCTTTCTTTTTACTTTCTTTAGTGTGCTTTAAAAAAAAATGGAATGAGAAAACGGTTTTTATTTGGTGCTTGTAAGGTGTAAACAAATAGAGAAATGTATATATAGAGGGTAATGTT